ATTAGTTCAAGAATTTACACAGATCGTCCTAGACGATTATGCGATTGCCAGGACGATTAGTTCAAAATGGGTAGCAATCACGAAATCGTCCCACAATAGTCTCGGGACGTCATGGACGATTGACCTGGACGATTAGAGGAAAATCATGGTTTTCTTCCTGGACGATGGGTATTATCCAACAAAAATATAATAGACCGTCTAGGACGATCAAAGTGGATCTTCATGCATGATCGTATTGAATAATTTAACAATAATTACTCTCCTAATTATCAAATCAATTTAGGCATGATTGTCTTGCATCGTTCAGGACGATGTAGATCATCCGAGAAGATTAGACAAAAATTGCAATTTAAAAAACATGCCTAAAATATGATTGTCGGTTGAATTTCATACATATAACTAATCGTCCTAAATTATCTAGATAGTCTAATATGATTAGTTAATTATCTCATCTTAACAGAATGCCCTAATTAGAGTTTTAATTTTTAACTAATCATCCAAGATGATTTTAAATTGTCCTGTATGATATGATCAAAAATAGAAAACTCTAACTCATCAAATTTTTCCTAGAGTGTGTGTGTGCAAGGTTACTTAGCTAACAAACACCCTTACAGGACTTGACTCAAGAAATAAAAAATACATCAATAAATATTACAACTTTATCCAAATTTAATGAAATTTTACTTAGCTAACAAAGAGATTAACAACTTGTGAAGGAGACATAAAGTTCATGATGAGAGTTTCTTGGGAAAAAAAGCATCGTTGGATAAGTAAAATTTGTTGAAACTCTAGATTTCTTAGGGGTTGTTTAGCAATAAGTATGATTTATTAAATCCTCTAAATCCAAATTTAATAAATCCTAAGTGAGTTAAATCCCGAAAAATGTTTGACAAAATAGTTATTAAATCCTGTCAAATCCTATGAAACTAAGATTTAAGGGAGCTAGTTCATTAAAAATTTCAAATTTATTTAATATTTTAAATTAAAAATTGTTTATTAATTTTTAATTTTAATTACCATAAATAAATTATAACTTAATTAGATTAGTTCCTAATTAAAAAATTAAATTAATTTAATTTCTTCCAATAGGTTAAGAGGCATTATTTTTTTTGGAAATTAGAGACAAACATACCCAATTTCATTCAAAAAATGAACGGTTACAAGAGAAGAACAATAAATTTGTAAGAAAAACTTACAAATCTCAACAAACTAACAAACTCCTTATTAAAACGAGAAACAATAAAAAGAACATAGATTACAAACAAAACTAATCCACAATAAGCCAGGTCCAAATGACACCAAAAATAGAGAAGCAAAGAGGAAGATCCTCCATATCAAAAAGCAGCTCCCATAATATTCTCCAGAACAAGAGGTTGGAACAATTCAGATAAACAGAGCCACAAAACAATTAGCCAGCAAAACCCAGTCCACCAAGATGTCTTAAGATCACCAACTAGAAAACAACGAAAAATCACCTAAGCCACCAAACAACTACAAGATAACAAACAAATGAAAACACCAATACAGAAACCAAGCGACAAGAAGCTTCCAAACAAACCTTCCAAACAAGAGCCCCATGCCACCAACCATCCGCCAACCAATCAAAGAACAAATCAAAGATGAACAACCAAACATCAAGCAATGCCATCAAACATCAGAAGAACAACCATCCACAGTTCCAATCAACCTACAAACAGAGCCAACCAATAGAACTAGAGGAAAAAAGAAATACCACAAAAACCAACACCCCTAAGAACCTAAAAAAAAAATAAGGAGCAACTCAAGACCACAAATAGAAACCAACCCAAATGCAAAGGAGAACCAACAACAGACCCAAAAAAAAAAGAAGGATAGAAGATGAAAAAAACCCCAAAGCAGCCCCAACACAAAGGACTCGGAGAAAGGGAAATCCTTTAATAGTCCCCTAAAACCCAAATACCATTAGTTGCTAGATCAGATCATTGAGAAAAAAACATGGTTACCAATCCAACCTTCTAAAAATAGAAAGATCAGAAGGTGCCAAAACATCATGGTCAAATGAAAAAAAAAATAATAATAATAAAATAAAACCCACTAGGAAGGAATACTCCCAACCAGAACAAAACAATAAAATAAAAAAACCAAACCCAAAAATATAAAAAACCACATTAAACAAATAGATGTTGGATGTTGGGAAAAGCAACCCAATTAAAAACTTTAGCTCGAACAGCAAACCTAATAATCTTACAAATAGAATTATGACAACCAATTTTATTTTCGTTCTTTCTGCATTTTCTTTCCTACCAAATGTAATAAAGGGAGCAGCAGGTGTATAGAAGAAACAAGTATTTACCATCAGTATACCAATTTGAGTTCCAAATAAATTCAAGAATTTGGATTAAATTTGGTCTAAGACAAAACGAAATTTAACCCAAGCACAAATTTTGATATGATATTAAATCACATTCAAAGAATAAATGACTATAACATTCAACCCCTTTATCACAGAGGATATAATTTAAAGGCACGTTAATATTCCTTTTAACTAAAAGATCTGCTGTTTTCAAACCATTTAACATAGCCATTAAAGAAAAATAAGTGAACCTTAAAGCATACCTTTTATGTCAAATATATGAATGCCAATCTACTCTAGAAAAATTCTTATAAAAAGCATTAAAAAATTCTTGAAAGTATGATACTTCACCTTATCTCAAGATATAAAAGATAAGACCTGATTATGAATAGAAATGCTCAAAATAGCCAAAGCTATATCTTCCATAATATGCAAGGGAATTTCCCAATTATCAATATTAATCCACTCCAACAGATCTAGAGTTATGCAAACTAACCCTAATTGAAAAAGGACCTTATGAAGAGCTTTCCCTTTAAACCAAGGATCCCAATATAGAGATAAAGGATAATTAGTAGTAATATTAAAAAGAAACATTAACTTTAATATCCCTAGCAATACCACAAAGATCTTTTCAGAATTTTGAATATTTTTTAAAGCAAGGCTTCCAACAAGAGATATAATAAAATTTAACCGAAATAGTATGCCATATAAGGGAACAACCAAAAGCAAAGCTTAAAGCATTCAGATCTAGAATCCCTAAACCACCAACCTTTTTAGGCTTACAAACTTTCTTCCATGCCATCATATGAATTCTTTTGATACCAACTTCACCATAAAATACAAAATTAGAACAACCTTTCTTGATAAAATTGAAACAAGATTTCGGCAATGAAATCCCTCTAATCCAATACGAAACAATATTATAAATAGTGAAATTAACATATTGAATTCTTCCTACAAAAGATAAAATCCTAGCTTTCTAACCAACAGGAACAACAACAACTTTGTTAAGCAAAGGCTGAAAATATGAAATTAAAAGCCTTTTGCAAGAAATAGGCAAACCTAAGTCATTCAATTGGATAAACTGCAATTTTGAACACAATAAAGATGCAATCAACTTTAATTTATTTGTAATTCATCTTATGTTATTGTTGTATTTCAAATGAAACTTTGTTGTATTTTATTTGAACTTATCTTGTTCTACTTTAATTATTGAAGAAATGCATATTAAATCTCTTATCCACCTTACATCTTGACTTGTATAGCCAAACAATCACACATGATTTAACTCTATTTATCATGAATGTTACCAAACAGTTTTAAGGATTTAACCCCCCCCCCCCCCCCCCCCCCATTTTATAAATCCAGATTTGGAGGATTTATGAAATCATACTTAAATGAAATCCTAAATTCTATCAAACAACCCCTAAATCTGAATATACAAAATTTATTAAATCCCCCTAATTTCTAAACAACCCCTAAGAGAAATAGTTTGACAAAAACCTAAATCGAAAAAAGCCCCCAATACCTAGAGGTCGACCGTCCGCGAATGTCAAGCCATAAGTGGCATGACCTAATCTACAACCCTAGTTCCAACTTCCTTTATCCCCTTTGATCCGAAAAGCGGAGTAGATCAGTTGCGACACCCCAAATTAATTTCTTAAACCTCGACACCAATTTTCTTCTTAGAAGGCATCTCAGATGGTTTTCTTTTCCTCTCCTCTATTTGGTGTTGCACAGTTTGACATCGTTACTGCGCGTGAGGTAGAGTTTTGCATGAGTCGCTTCTTCGGCTTCTTTCTGCATTGCTGGTCGACCTCGCTGCAACGAGTCGCTTATTCACTTCCTTCGACGACATTCCCTTCCTGTTGGATCAGAAGTCACGACATTTCAACGACGTTCTTCCCACTGGATTGGAAGTAACGATGGATGCTCGCTCGTAGTGAAGGCAACTTTCTTTCTCCCTTTTGTGTATTTCTTCAGCCAACTCTCATAAATCCATTATGCCGTGAGATTTACTGGGTGCTCAAATTCCGTTTGGCTGGATTTTGCATAAATCCTACTCAAATACTGCATAAATCTTTTTGCCAACAAGTGGGATTTATCTTTAGTGGGATTTATTAAATCCTTTAAATCCGGATTTAGTAAATCCTGAGGGTGTTAAATCCTGAAAACTGTTTGGTATGACAAATATTGAATCCTTTTAAATTTTGAGAAACTGTTTGATAACATATTTGAGGATTTATGGCTGTTAGAAATTTAAATGTGAAGAATAAAATTATAAATAAATAACTAATTAATTATAATTAAAAAAATATCGTGTTATGAAATTAATAACATGTTAAGTAGGAGTTACTCATTAATTATTATTTACTATTAATTATATATTTAATAATATATATTTTAAGTTATATTAATTAAGCATATTATATAATATTTAATTACTAATTATATTATTAATTAATTAATTAATTTACTTAATTATAATATTTAAATTATATTAATTAAGTTAATAACTAATAACTTAGAGGCGTCTAGGTTTGCCTTCATCTTCTCTTTTCGTCGCTGCTGTTCAGCTTCGTTGCTTCGCAGGAGGTGTAGAGATTGCACTCCTCGCTTCGTCGGCTGTTCGACTTCGCTCCTTCGACGACTTTCCCGTCCTGTGGGATCGGAAGTTACGACATTTTGATCGGAAGCAACAACCGGAGCTCCCTGGCTGTGAAGGTAACTTTCTACCTTTCGCGCGCTTCATCGGCCAAATCCCATAAGTCCGCCGAACCGAGGGATTTAGTAAATCCGGGATTTAAGCCGTAAATTTTTAAATCCCGGATTTACCCATCGCCGGGATTTAACGAGCGCACAAAAACCGTTTGGCTGGATTTAGCGGAAATCCGACTTAAATCCCGCTGTAAACCCGATACCAAATAACCCCTTAAATTCGTATAATACGAAGGAGAACGGGATTTAAGATTCTGTTGGTTTTAAGTTAATTTTGACTGTTTGGCAACTCCCGCTCAAAACCTTCCATCAAACAGCCTCAGGAACCCAGAGTACGTGGAAGGATGAGGCAGTCGGTGGCTGAGGCTGAAGCGGAAGCTTTGATGGGAGTGAGTTCAAAAGGGGAGCTTAAGCGCAAGCAGAAGCAGCTAAAGAAGGCCAAGTCTGGGGGATTTGAATCATTAGGACTCTGCCCGGAGGTTTACCGGGGGGTTAAGCGCAAGGGTTACCGCGTGCCGACACCGATTCAACGCAAGACGATGCCTCTGATCCTAGCTGGTGCAGATGTCGTTGCCATGGCGCGCACTGGGTCAGGAAAGACTGCTGCTTTTCTTGTACCCATGCTTCAGCGTCTCCGCCATCGAGTACCCCAAGCGGGGATTCGCGCTCTTATACTCTCCCCAACCAGAGACCTTGCTATTCAGACTATGAAATTCACCAAAGAGCTTGGAAGATACACTGGTTAGAGTTTCCACTCTCCCATTCTTTCTTCCTTTAGTCAAGCTTTTTTTTTCCTTTATGGTTAGCAAATTTGTCATGTTGGCTGTGTTGCAATTGTATGTCAGCTCCTGTGTGAAGGGGATGAAAGTCTTTTATTTAGTTGACTTATCTTGATCGATTGATGAAAATTTTATGTGGAGACCCTTCTATGATAATGACTAAATAGACATTTTGCGGCTGCTTGTTTTGCTGTTACTGAAATTTCAGCGTTATTTAGATGTAAATGTTATTAAATGTTTGTTCTATCTATAAAATACTATGTGTTCAATTCAATTTTATTGTATTGTATGATAAAATGATAAATTTTTATATACGAATGAGTAAATAATATATAAAACATAAACATACACAAGATATGAAGTGAAATCAAAATATCACAATAATAAGACAACATGAAATATAGTTCAACTCAAACTCTATCTTTCCCAAATCACAATATTCTTTTCATTAACATATAATTCCAAAAATAAATAGCAATGACATATCACATAATAACTCATAAGTCATCAGCAATGTCATCACTAAGGTGGTCTTCATTTGAATCATCATTATGATGAACTGCTCTCGCCCTTTCCTCACATAAAAAAAATAACCTAATTTATACGCATATCTATTGAGCATCTTATACTTTTTATAATGCATGCCTAAACCACATGTCCACATAAACATAAATCTAAAAAAAAGAGATCTAAATATTACATAAATAAAAAGTCCTATTAGTTTGATTTTCATTTTCTTACACTATCAATGACAGCCATTCAATCAAATGACATTGAAAATTGTATATAAAATATTTTGCCAAAAAAGAATGAAAACTAAAGGAAAATATCGATAAATGCAATGATATAACAAAAAAATCACATTTGAGTGAAAAGAAGAAGAGGAAGTAAATCTATTTCACCTTTGTCAATAAACCCTCAACTCCAACCACGAAGAAGAAGAGCTTTCAATGGTCGGTCGAAGGAGACTCCAAGCTAACCTGCGGTAGAAGAGAACTCCAAGCAAGAGGCGAAGAGCAACTCTCGGGGTGGAAGGAAGACGTTGTCGGTCTTGAATGGAATGAAGAGGGGGAAATGTCGCTCGAAGGAGAAAAAACCCTCAGTTCGACGGAAGATGAGTGAGGGGGTCTCGAACCGAATAGATAAATATTAGGTTAGGTTTTGTTTTTTTTTTTAATTTTAAGAGGAGAACGCCAAGGCGCACCTCATTAATTGCTTTCATTGCGTAGGCTTTGAGGCTTAAAAGATCGAAATTACGCTGAGGGGCGCCTCATGCTTAAAAGACCGAAATTGCACTGATGCGCGCCTCTTATTGCGCAATTTTAAACCATGATTGCAACTTGTTGGCTTCATGTTATACTTGAAATTACGAGATGCACCAAGAGGGAGGGGGTGAATTAGATATTTAAAAAATTCTTTAATGAAAAGAAAACTCTTTTTATAACTTGATGCGAAAGCGAATTAAATTCACAATAAAAAATAAATTATCAATTTCACCCACGCAATTAATCGTAATAAAAATGAATGCGGAAATAAAGTGCGGAAATAATAAAAGAAAGAACACATTGATTTATAGTGGTTCGGTCAAACCATGACCTACGTCCACTCCCTGGAGGCACTCTCCGAGTATTACACTAAACCTTTAGTGATTCTCCTTTAGCCCCCATAGCTAGGCGGAGAAGCCTTTACAAAATCACTTCCACCTTCCCCGGTGCGGCGGAGGAGCCGGGTCCTTTGACATCAAAGAGATTTTCTTCTTCCCAAAACTTCCTCAAGAAGAACCTTGAATTTGATGGTACTGAGGTGCAAGCTCGCCGGAGCAACCGTATGAAATCTCCTTCACGCTCCCTTGAAATCCCCTCCAAAGATCTTCTCCCTCTCTCAAACTCCACCCTTTACTCTCTCTCTTTCAAGTTCTCTCTTCAAGTTTTCTCCCGAAAAATAAAGCTTCAATGGATGCCAAAGACCCTTACAAAGTCTTATGAGAGTGCTTAAATAGAGGGCTAAAAAACCTAAAAAAAAACTCAATTCAGCAATCAAATATCGTACTGTACTATCGCAAGATCGTCCAGTACGATGTGCAAAAATTGACCTGTTAGTACTGTATGATGTCTAGTTAGTACTGTACAAACAGTTCAATTACAGTTCGTACAGTACGATGTGCTGTATGAACAGCTCAATAAAAGAACATTCGTCCAGGACGAGCATGGACGACCAAAATCATCTCGGTTGATCGTACAGTACGATTTAGTTCGTACAGTACGATCTAGTTCGTACAGTACGGTCAAAATATCAAAATTAAGCTGTTTTGATTGAATAATCACAGGAATAAATTAGGCAATATTTTAAACATCGTACAGTATTGTATGATCGTACAGTACGATTAGAACAACTTTCAAATTCAAAATTTTGCCTAATTTAATAGACGGCAGGCTTTCTAATTATAACAGATCGTTCAGTACGATGTGGTGTTCGTACTGTATGATTAATTATATTTTAAAAATAGTTTTTTTAGGAAAATAAAATATTTCAATTAATTTATGTTACACTATATCGTACAGTATGATACAGATCGTACAGTACGATGTACATAAAAATTAAAATATTTTAAATCATTTTTTGCTCCCTCTGTGTGTGTGCACGATCAACAAACTAACATACATCATTACAAGACTTGACTCAAGAAATGAAAATTACAGACTCATTTAATACAATCAATTCTACAAATCTTGTGCCTTGAATCTTCAAAGAACGGTGTATGATGTACCTGAAATATTGGTCAACACACAAACAAATGTGCACTACAAATTCTAGGAGAAATAAAAGATTAATCAATATTATTTGTTATCATCAAAATCATAAACTCGAAAACCGAGTTGCAACGATATCCCCCTTTTTGATGATGACAAATAATATTGGTTGAATTTGCAAATTGAAAAAATTTTCTCTTAAACTCTCCATCACTAAAAGAATTACATTAAAAAATAGGGGAGAGTTTTTTTTTGAAGCTAAATAACAGAAAAAAAATACAACCAACTTCAATACATTCTCCCCCTTTGATATTATAAAAAAGAAAACTCTTTTTATAACTTGATGCGGAAGCGAATTAAATTCATAATAAAAAGATAAATTATCAATTTCACCAACGCAATTAATCGTAATAAAAATGAATGCGAAATTAATAAAGGAAAGAACACATCGATTTATAGTGGTTCGGTCAAATCATGACCTACGCCCACTCCCTGGAGGCACCATCTGAGTATTACACTAAACCTTTAGTGATTCTCCTTTAGCCCCCACAGCTAGGCGGAGAAGCCCTTACAAAATCACTTCCACCTTCCCCGGTGCGGCAGAAGAGCCAGGTCCTTTGACACCAAACAGATATTCTTCTTCCCAAAACTTCCCTAAAGATGAACCTTGAATCCGATGGACTGAGGTGCAAGCTCGCCGGAGCAACCATGTGAAATCTTCTTCACACTCCCTTGAAACCCCCCTCCAAGGATCTTCTCCCTCTCTCAAATTTCACCATTTCCTCTCTCCCTTTCAAGTTCTTTCTTCAAAATTTCTCCAAAAAAATGAAGCTTCAATGGATGCCAAAGATCTTTACAAAGTCTTATGAGAGTGCTTAAATAAAGGGCTAAAAAAACTTTAAAAAAAACTCAATTCAGCCATCAAATATCATATCGTATGATCGCAAGATCGTCCAATACGATGTGTAGAAATTGATCTGTTAGTAGTGTACGATGTCCAGTTAGTATTGTACAAACAGTTCAATTGCCAGTTCATACAGTACGATGTCCTGTACGATGTGCTGTACGAATAATTCAATAAAAGAGTAGTTCGTCCAGGACAAAGCATGGACGGCCAAAATCATCTCGGTTGATCGTACAGTGCGATCCAGTTTGTACAGTACGATCAAAATATCAAAATTAATCCGTTTTGATTGAATAATCACAGGATTAAATTAGACAATATTTTAAACATCGTACAATACGATTAGAATAACTTTTCAAATTCAAATTTTTGCCTAATTTAATGGACAGTGGGCTTTCTAATTATAACAGATCATTCAATATGATGTGGTATTCGTACTGTATGATTAATTATATTTTAAAAATATTTTTTTAGCAAAATAAAATATTTCAATTAATTTATGTTACACTATATCGTACAATATGATACAGATCGTACAGTACGATGTACATAAAAATTAAAATATTTTAAATCATTTTATCCTCCCTCTGTGTGTATGCACGATCAACAAACTAACATACATCATTACAAGACTTAACTCAAGAAATGAAAATTACATACTCATTTAATACAATCAATTATATACAATCTTGAGCCTTGAATCTTCAAAGAACGGTGCATGATGTACATGGAATATTAGTCAACACATAAACAAATATGCACTAAAAATACTAGAAGAAATAAAAGATTAATCAATATTATTTGTTATCATCAAAATCATAAACTTGGAAGCCCGAATTACAACAATACTTTTAAGTTATAACCCACAACAACTATCTATGATAAGATTACTGATAGGAAACACTATAGATCTCAAGTATTTCCTATCAATCTTAAGAAAATAGTGATAATTCTTCACAAAAATCCACACAAAAATAGGAAAACAGTAGATAATTTGTATTATTTGATGAAAAGGAAACGAAAAATAACAAGATACAATTGATACTCTATTCGAGAGGTGGATCGATCTCTCCCAAATCTCTAGACGCCTCTAGAGCCCAAAAGAAAACCTAAATCTAAGAGATCTCAAATTTCAGCTGAATTCAAGATGGCCTAACCCTAGGAAAACAAACTATTTAATGCATACAAATCAAAAGTAAATCTCTAAACAATCCCTACACTCAAGTTTTCCTCCTAACTTCCTAAAACAGCTTATGCATGCTATGTGTGCGTTCGGTGCATACAGGATGGAGAAATTTGCCTCTGTGTTCACGTATGCCGGTCCCGTCGGACCGGCTGGACTGGCCCAATAGATCGGTCTAACAATACTCCCCTCCCAAAGATCCACCTTGTCCGCTAGGTGGAAAGACGACACTCTCCTCTATTCCTTCTTCATCACAAGCGGTAAGAACCCGAAGAGTTCGGTCATTATACTTGTGCCTCGACGTATACCTCTCGTCACATCTGAAACAGAGTCCCTTCGCCCTCTTCTCATGTAATTCCATCTCTGTGAGCTTCTTGAAGTTGTCCCTAGGTCTTTCTCCTGCAGTCTTTTCCTTCGAAGTCCCCCGAAGAGTATAGCTCCTTGGATTTTAATAAGGTGGTGGTCATCTTGTATGGGCCTTCTGAGCTGCTGCCTCATGTCTCTCTTTCAAAGTGCCTATGATCTTCTACCAATTGAGCTAGCTCCATGGCCTCACCTAAGTCATGAGGCATCATTACTTTAATCGTTGCCCGAATCACTTGTGTCAATCCCTTCATAAAGTTCCCCTCTAGTACTGTCTCAGAAAGGCAGTCCAATCAGCTAGCAAGGTACTTGAATCTCTCCCGGTACTCTATCACTGATTCATCCTGCATCAAGGCGAACTGCTCGTAGAAGTCTCATTCCCTGCCAGTTCGGAAACGTTCTATCAAACAATCCTTGAACTCCCTCCAACTCCGTGTGGGTCGTCGCATGTCCCTCTATTGGTACCAAGCCAAAGCTTTCCCTTCCAAACATAGGCCTGCTGTCGTCAGTCTCTCCTCCTCCGTCAACCCATTGACGGCGAAATATCTTTCAACCTTGTAGAGCCACCCATGCGCATCTTCCCTCTCAAAGATTGGCATCTTCAATTTCCTCACCCTCGGATCACCTCCATTCCCTTTGTTCCCTTCATAATTTCATATCTAAGCCTTTCATCAAATTCTTGCCTCCTTTCAAATTCAGCACCTCTTGGATCATCACAAACTCTTCTTTTCAATTCAGCTCTCCTTTAGTCAAGATTCCCTCTTTCCCTTTCAAATTCAGTACCCTTCCACTCATGTTCAACCCCCTCACGCCTCCCCACATACCCTCTGCGGACTCCTCCCTTGGAATAGGTCCTAGGGGAGGCATTTTTTGCTTTCCCTTCAAAATCTCTACCTCTTGATATTCCTTTCGTCTGATTGGCTTCGGATTTTCACCACTTCCCTTCAACTATTTAATGCATACAAATCAAAAGAAAATCTCTAAACAATCCGTACATTCAAATTTTCATCCTAACTCCCTAAAAAAACCTTCCTAAAATAGCTTACGCTCGCTGTGCGTGCTTTCGGTGCGTATAGGAGGCGTGCGTTCGGTGCATATAGGAGATGGAGAAATCAGCCTATGTGTTCGCGTATGCTGCTCTCATCAGATTGGTTGGACCGGTCCGATGGACCAGTCTAACAATTACCCTCTTATTATTACTATCATACCGTAAAGCATTTTTTCGCTGAATTGGAAAAATATGTATTGATCACTCAATAAAGTGCACCCTGCAGAAGGTTGAAAGGAAAAAAATAAATCCTTCTTGACATGGATTTTCTATTCTGCCATTTGTTTTCATGCTATGTCAGAAATAAGAGGATTTTAGAAGTTAATGTTTTTCGGTTTTATACTTCTTATTTGAAGTGCCATCCATGCTTTTTATTTTATGATATTTTTATCAATGAAATTCTTGCAGACCTTCACATTTGTTTGCTGGTTGGTGGAGATAGTATGGAAAACCAATTTGAGACATTGACACAAAGCCCGGACATTATAATAGCAACTCCGGGACGCCTCATGCATCATCTATCTGAGGTGGAGGGGATGTCTTTGCGGACAGTAGAATATGTAGTGTTTGATGAAGCTGATTCACTATTTGAAATGGGATTTGCGGAACAGCTACACAAAATTTTGCAGCAATTAAGTGACACCCGCCAAACTTTACTTTTCAGTGCTACATTGCCTAGTGCCCTTGCAGATTTTGCGAAGGCTGGCTTGCGTGAACCTCAACTTGTCCGGCTTGATTTGGAGACTAGAATAAGTCCTGATCTTAAGGTGAATTTTTTCACATTACGGAATGAAGAAAAGGTTTCTGCATTATTGTATCTAGTCAGGGAAGTGATAAGTTCTGACCAGCAGACCTTGATTTTTGTTTCAACGAAGCACCATGTGGAGTTCCTGAACTCTTTATTTCGAGAAGAGGGCATTGAGGCTTCTGTTTCATATGGGGATATGGATCAGGATGCTCGAAAGATCCATATATCCAAATTTAGGGCAAGAAAGACCATGATGCTCATTGTGACCGATGTTGCTGCCAGGGGCTTAGATATTCCCTTACTTGATAATGTGGTGAATTGGGATTTTCCTCCAAAGCCTAAAATTTTTGTTCATAGAGTGGGCCGAGCTGCTCGAGCAGGAAGGACTGGTACTGCTTATTCCTTTGCAACAGCAGAGGATATGCCTTACCTGTTAGACCTCCATCTCTTTCTTTCAAAGCCTCTTAAAGCTGCTCCGACGGAAGATGAGGTTATTCATGATGTGGATGGGGTTTATTTGAAACTTGATGAAGCAATTGCTAATGGAGAAACAGTTTATGGTCGATTTCCCCAGAGAATTTTGGACCTTGCTTCTGACAGGATAAAAGAAATTATTGAAGGGTCTGCAGAACTTACAGCTTTGCAGAAGTCTTGTTCTAATGCTTTTCGGTTGTATTCAAAGACAAAACCTTTACCTTCAAAAGAATCCATCAGGAGGGCGAAAGATTTACCTCACGAAGGTCTTCATCCAATTTTTAAGGATATACTGGGATCCAATGAACTGATAGCTTGCGCATTTTCTGAACGTTTGAAAGCATACAGGTTAGTACTATTTTAGATGAACATATTTTGTTTTTGTTGTTTTTTATTTAATTTATGCATGATTCTCTTAGTTATATACTTATTTGCCATCACTTTTTTTTTCTTTTTCATTTGTGATTAGTTGTTACTGATTTTTATGCACTGCTTTCTGCATCAAGATTTTTGAGTTTTTTTTTATGAACGAATTATTGCAATACAGGCCAAAGAAAACCATTTTAGAGGCAGAAGCAGAAACTACCAAATTAAAAAACTTGCAGGTATTAATAAATTGTATTTTTTTTTCTTGTGGATTGGTAAATTGGTTTGTCTTCTAACAATTCACTAAATTGTTTCTTTATTTAGCAGTGGCTTCTGTCAATGCTCTCAAATTGTACCCAAATGCAATTCTCAAGTTTTTCCCTTATACCTTTTTCATGTTTATAATTCCAAATCAAATTTGATCATCAAATATTACATCTTGAAATTTATGCCGCCAGAGATTTGATTTGAACTAATTATTTTTATTTTTATTTTTCTCTACATGAATGTCTTGGCTTAATTGGGGATTTGATTTTGCTGCATTTATAAGTACTTTTGGCGGTTTAATAAAATTGTATGGTTCAACTATTTAGTCTCTTGTTATATTCTTCAGAATTCTCGGAATGAGAATACTATGCAGATGCAATGTAAGATTTATTTGGTTTTGTTTTATTCTTCTTATTTATCGTGTTATGGCCATATAACATCTTTTATAGGTTTTTCTGTTGCTTAGAGATCAATTCAACTTCACGTTTATCTAATGTTGTATCCCTGTATAGTTTTTTTTTTTTTTTGAATTTGATTTCTATACTAGTCAGAGGGGATAATTGTTGAGGATGGTGCACTTAATATTTGACTCTAGTAGTTTTATTGTGAACTAGAACTGAATAAATTTTCATGATGTGCAGTTGAATTGAAGTGCAAATTTATGCTTAAGAAATAGGGTACTCACATAAGTTAAATCTTGATAGAGGAAAACTGTGCAGATGATGTGGGCACTAGGGAAGCCAACTGCAATATTGGTGGACTGCACGCCTATGGGTAGAGTTTAGAAATTCAGCGACAATTCAACGTGTTATCAAGTGTCTCCCTACCATTATCGTTATAATTACCAATATCAATAGATGATGCACCTTACTTTGACCAAATTTGCCAAGTTAAGCTTATGTAGTTCCTTTATCAGATACCAACCTAGATAATATTTCTTTAAAGAAAAATTATTTGAAAAGTATCATTGATTTTTTTTTTTTTTTTAAAGTTTTTGAAGTATATGTGAGCATCATCTATTGATGTAGTCGTAGAAAATAGTTTGAGATGTTTTATCTTTGTAAAGAAGAGTGAAGTACTGATCAATTGTTGAGTTAGACTTTGTCACGAATATAACTTTTGACAATATAAAATTACATATGATATTGGATCCATAAAGTTATCTTAGAACAGTTAGATAAGGCAGCAATTGTACTGCTAATGATGTAGAACGGAAAAAAAAAATCTGAAACTATTTCTATGGGAAGGAAATAGAAATAGTTCAGATTTTGAGAAATTTAGGTGAGATTGTGAGGATTTTCTTTTGAGTTTGGGAGGGAGGCCTTGAGAAATTTCAGCCTTGACGGAGAAAAGACAAGCTGAGAAAATTATGCCTACAGGACTTAACTGGACCGCAAATTATGTGAGGGGATTTGAATTATTTCCTCGAATACTTTGATGGAAAATTAAGGATCTAATTCAAATTTAAAATCTAATGGGAGAGAGGGGCCCGGCTGGGTTGAGGGGGTGAGGGGAGGAGTGAGGGAAAGATTTCCGGTAATTGGCTGAGCATGAGAGGGAAATTCAGTAATTAATTCCAACGGGCAGATTTCAATTAATTTGGGATTTAGAGAAAGGAGGGAATTTCGGCCAATGCAAGAGGAAATAGTTTCCAATGCAGTAATGGGAGGATATGAAATAAAGAATAACTCAAGATGGAGGTGACAGGGGGGCAGCAGTGCAGGGAAAAGAAAAGGGGAGAATTAATTTTATTCCCAAAAGTGGAGTTCCACTTAGGCAACAAATCAATCCAAGCAAGGTGAGTAGGAAATTCGGTCCAGAGGGATTTATGGGTGATTTCAAATTATTTCCTAACTAATAGATGAGATTAGGAAATAATTCAAAAGGGTTAATGGGATAGGGAAAGAGGCCGGCGGCATGCATGGGTGAAATTTGGGTTTGGTGCCATGTGTGCAAGCTTGCCTAAAATAGTTTTAGACTTAGGAAATTAATTAAGTAACTCTATTTGAATTTGAATTCAAATATTGTTAACTTAAGAAACTTACCTAAAATAGATTCGCTAATTTAGGAAAGATTTTCAAAATTCAAAATGTTTCCTTAAATAGGATTAGGGAATTTAGGAAGGTTTATTTGAATTTCAAATCAATTGAGTTTGAATTTCAAACTATTTCCAAATTCATTCAAGCCTAAATTAGGAAACTTCAATGGGATGATGAAGGGAGGTGGCCGGCGGGTTGTGAAGAGGTGGCCGACGGGTTGTGAAAAGGTGGCCGGCGGGATTGTGAAGAGGTGGCCGGTGGCTTGGGTGGAGGATGAGGATGTCGACAAGGAGAAAATGAAAAGATAACGAAAAGAATAAAACCACGAACCCGGCCGTCTCCAAGGTTGGTGGGTGATACGATTCTTCCTCTCCAAGGGATCTCAAATCACGAGCCCGGACCCATCCTGCGGCTGGTGACAACTTCGATTCCTCTCATAGGAATCCCACTAACGCTCTCTCACAAGAAGAACAAATGTGGAACACAAATTTTCATATTCATTAACCATCCTATTACAATAGCTAAAGGCCCTATATATAGGCCACAACATGAGAAAATAAAAAATTACAAAATTGCCACTTGGGCCACAACACTCAAATAAATTAACCTAGGGGTAAAATAGGAAATAACATAAAATAGAAACTAAAATGCAGAAAATAATTCATAAATGACAACTTAAATTAGAGCCGTCGATTTACGACGCCTCCTGTGATAGATGCGCCAGATTTTCGTGCCGATGTCCGCATCAGCTAATGCTCTTATTTTAACATTCTAGTTACTGGTTTATGTTTTTTATTCCTGTTTTTGTTGATACGCTTAGATTAGTGAACTTGAAAAGTGTCCTAATTGAATAACCGGCTGTACGTTGATATCTGGTTAGTTTGCAACAAGCGCTGGTAAACATTTATCAAGCTGATAAGGGATATTGGTTTTATGAAACTTGTAGAACTCTTTTCGTATTTGCTCCTGCACTAAATTATCTCACTTGACTATCACTTTTTCCTTCAAAAATGTAAACACCCTTATTAAATGAATAGATGTATATTATGTTGTCCTTGATGAATGCTACTAGTGCTTATTCTGCCATTTACTTGTTTCTCATTCTAACTTTTATATATTTTTTATTCCTATTTAGATTTTGCGCAATGCAACTTTTTTGCTCAAACCATTCTTTTTTATAACATTGTGATGCCACTTTCTTCCCCCTTCTAGAAGAATTTGTATTAGTTTGCTTTATACGAGTACCAAGTATCTCTAATTTGTTTTTGCGTCATCCAATCAGCATTCAATTCTAGTATTTATCATTATCATTTGACTAAGAATAATGTAAATACTGTAAGGATATAGGACATGACATGAGTTAGATGTGTGGACTGTACAAGTTCTGCAGAAGTAGGATATGGATACATATTAAGTGAATGATTATTTTTGATGATGTTACTTCTAATGACCATCAGGTGTCACAATTTTAATGCACACATTGTATCCCATATTTACCATATTCCATACATTTACTCCATCCAACTGTTGTGCTGCTATGAATTATGGCATGCATAAGTATACTTTGTCTTTGGAAATTTAAACCTATACCCATGTAATTTGCCTTGTCTCATCTCAGGAGGACTGATTTCAGATTGTTTTTTTTTGCTCCATGCCTTAGATTTGGGTTGGGCATTTACTGAATTGTGCTGGGGCTGATGAGCTTTGGATTCAGCTTGTGCACCCATGTCATTTATTTGAACGTATATACTAACATGCGATTGTAATGTTGCATTTGTAGGTTTTTGAAAAATTGTCATGTATGTGATATCATATGGTGAAAAGTATAACCTTACTAATCATTTCGTTTTAGACTCACTACATTCTTTTCCATGAGTAATTTTTGCTTCTCTCCAACCTCTACTTTGCCTTGCATTGGCCTTTTCTTATGTACTCATTGAATTAGATCCTCTCTTCTTCACACCATTTTCATCTCCATAGTTTGTTCTCTCCATGGACGAGGTATCACCTTTCTTTCTTTGTGGTTATTGTTTTGTGACACTTATTCTTGTTGTCGAAGCCATCCTATAGTGGTTGACACCGCCAAGCTCTTCTCTTTATAAATGTGGAATGACTAGGGGTGTCAATATTTGACCCGACCCGAAAATTTCGGGTTCGGGTCAACCCGAACCCAAACCGGGTCGGGTTTTAGGGATTTCGACCCATTTGTAAAACCGTGTCTGGTTCGGGTTGACCCGGAAACCTGAAATCAACCCGTTTTGAACCGTTTTTAATTAATTTAGGAGGGTTTTAATGGATTTTTATGAAATAAGTAAATGATATTTCAAAATATTATAAGCATTTTTGGCCAAATTAAATTAATCTTGATTTAATTTAAATTAATTGAAGTAAATCTTACCTTAATTTGATTTAGATTTAAATAAATTGAATTAAATAAAAAATTTTAATAAAATATACCCGAAGCGGGTCGGGTTCTGGTTCGGAAAACCGACCCGTTTGCAAAAACGGGTCGGGTTGAACAGTGTCGGGTCAATTCGGGTTGGACCCGAACTTGACCTGTGACCCGGTTTTGACAGCCCTAGGAATGACTATTTCTGTTGTCTCCTGCATCTTGTTATCGTGATTTTTCTAATCTTTTTTCCGTCATGGCCCTTGTAGCTCTCTTTTTGAATTTTATCACACCTAATCATCTTCGTAGTTTACCTTTTTCTTATCGCCATGTCATCTCACCGTAATTTCTTCTCATTCTGCTTGTAGATGTGAGAGCATTTTATTTCTGTTAGGGGTGGGTTATCAATATGATGTGTTCCTTATTAAGACCATTATAAATCCGCTATGCTTACTTTTTTGGCTGGTTTTAAGGTTAGTGTTAGGCTTTACAGGATCAATTTGAGTTGTACAACCCATCATAAGCTGGACTTTTGCTATTTATAATTTGATGTAGATGGCATTATGCTAGATCTTAAAAAGCAAGGTGTAGTTAGGGTGAGCTTCATCATATATATAGAGATACGAAATAATGCATGCATGCGGGTGCAAGGGTGCTTATCAGATTGTCCATTGGTGTTTATCCTATACATGTTTTTGTGTGTTTATATGTACGTTAGGCTTATTAATGGTACAATAACAAAGCATTTTTTTGCTTCACTTAAAATCTTTGCCATGAAGCTTATCTTTGATGTTTAATTTTCTTATTTCAATATACTTTTTTGTGTTGATTCATTGTTTTATCTTGGTTCCTTTTACTGTGGCATTGCTTTGATTTTTTTATTGCTTTGGCATTTGGGTATGCTTTTGCTTTTGGTTGTGTTTTACATGGAATGCAAATTTCACCATCTATCTTTTCTTGAAAGAAATTGTGTTGCTTTGTATTATTTTCTTTTAATCCTTTTCATATATGCATGAGGATGTATTTTATGCATTATTCAATGCTCGTTCTTCTTTGGTTATTATAATCACAATCATCATTCACCATATTCCAAGTATTTGGGTCAACTTGATGAATCTTGTTCCTGGATGAGATCTCAACTCTATTTTGTGTAGGTTTTTTACAAAACTTCTAATCATGCTACTTTTGGTATACACCATTTCCTTTCTAATTCTTTCCGATTAGTCCTATCTACCCATTTTATTTTTGCATTTTCTTCCTTTTTTTACATGCAAATCTTTGAAGATAATTTTTCACTGTCATATTATCAACAATTGTTACTGACACTCTCTAATCATTTCTCACTCTTTTCCAGTAATGCTACTCTTCCAGTTAAATTTTCTCTTTTTTTTCACACCCAATATTTTTGTAGGTGACTTTTCAGTACTTCTGCACTCTTATCAAGTGTAGTATATTCCATAATATTAATGTTATAAAATAGAAGTCTTGATTATATTCTCATGCTTCTTTGGTGCTTGATACTGTTTGCTTCTTTTTTTATGCTTCTTTAGTCCTATCTAGATGTATTGGATTTGACTTATGTTATGAAAGGTTGAGGTAGATCTAAAAATATTTGGTTAGAAAACATTAGAAACGGGTTATTAGAATTAAATGAGAATTTGATTCTTAACTGGACACAATGGAGAAATAGAATTCATGTAGCCGACCTCACATAGTGGGATAAAGGCTTGATGTTGTTGTTGTTGTAGTTGCAGCATCACTTGATAATTCTCATTATAAATTTTGTTTTTTAATCTATTGCAGGGTTCCAATCAATGTCTTGACATAATGAGGAGAAAAAGAGCTGTTCATGAAGAAGTCATCAATCTAGTACATCAGAAAAAGATTACTGGTGCAGTTCCCAAGGTAAAACTCTTATTTAGTAAATATTGGTCTATTACAATATGTTTCCATTTGTTTATTAGCATGTTTGCCTTTTTTTTTTAAATTTATGCTTTAGCGTCACTCTTTAATTTGTTTTTAACAGATTAAATACTCTTCTCCGTTGACTGTTGCATATTTTGATAACGTGTTATTGATTAGTTCGAAGAGCAATGCCACATGTTGAACAGATACTTTGTGGGAGTTTTTCTAAGAAATACTAGCCTTTTAAATGATCTGGTTATAATGCTTGAAAGATAATACGAGCTCCGAATATTTGCATCTTAAAATCTTTTTGCTCAGGAAACGCCTAAACTCGAAATTCATGTGTTTTATGAAGACGCCTGGAAGTTTTTGTGTATTATTATTGACATATCATAGAATTATAAATTTACTTTACATATACCTATGGAATTTGTGCATTTATTATGCATAACTTGCATTGTTATTTAGGAATATTTCTTCTGATAAACTCGGTATAATGTGCTAGCAGATATTTGGACATGTGAGGGAACAAAAAAAAGCTTATTAGTTTGTGCGTTAGAAATCTTAATCTCGTAGTTTTTTCTCCTTAGTTTCTCTCACATCAATAATATGTTGTGCATAGGGTTTGTAAACGAGTCGAGTCAAGCTCGAGTCACATCAAATTCAAGCTCAGCTTGTTGGTCAGAAAATCGGCTTCAACTCAAGCTCAAGTTTGAGTTAGGCCCCAAAAATGAACTCAAACTCGGCTCGTCCTTCAACTCCCCTAGCTTGAGAGCTTGACTCTAGCTTGGTGGGAGTTCACTCAAGAAGCATGAGGGGTGAACTGGCAAAAGCTCGGGCAAAAGACTCAATTGACCGTTGGAGAAGAAGCACTAAAGAAGATACAGCTTTTTTTTGGGAGAATTAACAACAGCGGTAGCAACATAGGGAAAAAGACAGATTTTTTGGGGAGCAGTAATAGTAGCAGATGCATTAATGATATTAAATGCAATAACTTTTTCAGTAAACTTTTTTTGGTATACTAAAACATTTTTTTTTTCATGTTTTAAATGCAAATGAAGTGAATTTACTTCTAAATAATATAAATTAATAAATAAGGTGATTTTTCTGCCTCTAAATATTACCTAATCAAGCAATCTCGCGAGGTGATGAGCCGAGTCTCATCAAGCTCGAACTCGAGCTCAAGTTCTGGCTCGAGGCTCGATAAGCTTGACTTGCGAGCTCGTTGGCGAGTCTAGTTTGAGTTGACTCACGATCCATCTTGGCTCATTCATGCCTCTAGTTGTGCATATTTTATGAGAGCACTGTTTCTTGAATGATCATATAAATTGCATGGGTGGATGAGATATATCATTCAGATATGTTAAATGCATCTTGTCAATACTTCTTACTTTACATTTTCTTTTATCTACATTTTTTTTTTAATTTTGAATTCCTAGCCTTTTTAATATCGAATTAATTTTTGTATGCCATTTTTCTCCTGTAATCTTTATGTTGATTCCTTACAATCCAATGGTTAATTTTGTAACCTTATTAAACAGAACAATGAAATCATGTCAAGAGTTATTTAACTTCAGACTTTGACGTTAGGGATGTTTTGCTGTTGTTATTGGATGCCTTCATTAGGATCCACAGGCTTCCTCATTAGAGAAGATCCTTTAAACTCAAACAATGAGATCATGCCAAAGTTATTAGTGTTGCGGTATAACCTTGGCTCAATTTATTGGAAGTGGGGTTGTCATACTGAGTAGATTGAGTGGTGCGAAAGCACAAAGCATGTATGATTGTGCTTGATTTGGAGATTAGATCTAGTTGGTGGTCAACTAAACTTTCTACTTTCATGATTTTGATGTCAAATCATGAAAATATCAAAGAAATCTTGTTCTTTGAAGTTTTAATGGTCTTGTTTCTCTTTGAAACTTGTCAATTATGTCAATTCATATTATGCTATTGAGATCAAAGAGGGTGTCTCTTGGAATTCGTATGCTCAATTAAATATTTAATCATACATCATATTTGGGGCAAGGCTTATGAAGATGGAATGTTTGATCAAATTTCATATTGTAGCATGATAATGATGATTTTGATTTTTTTAATTGTTCGGACAAGTTTGTATATGAATTTAATTTCAGATTAGAATAATTTTGGAATGAATTTCATTTTTTTTAACTTATTTGATCAACTAGACAGATGATTGTGCGTTTGGACGATGCGTGCATGCATTTCAATGCATTTTCATAGTGCACTCACACGATTTTTAATGTATTTTACTTAATAAATTTGCATGCATTTTAAAGCAATAGTGCACTTCTCAAAGTACTTGCATGCTCTTTAGGCGATAACATCCTTCTCGAGATTGCACACACTTCTATAAAATTTGCATTCATATTGCTTTCAATCCATGCAACATTCTGGGGTTCCAAATTTAAGTGTTTAGCACGGTCGTCAGAGCACATGTAGATATTTCATTTTTTTAATAGAGATTTGAAATTTAAAAATTGATTGTGAAGTTTCATCATATTTGTACATTTTCAGAGTGAAAAATTTAAAACTCATTATTTTTTAGTTCGCGTAACAATCTTATAGATTATGTTCTCGCACCTTTGTCACATTTGTCGAAGCACATGCTCATTTGAAAATGATATATTTAATATTTAAAATTGGTAGTAAAATTTTTATATAATCAAACATTTTTTTCAAAGCTTGGAATTTAAAAATATAGTTATTATTCAGTCCACATAGCATTCTCAAATGGCGTACTTATGCATTTGTTACGTTCGTTGAAACACATGTAGACGTCATTTTCTAGAAATGGCCTGGTTCCACAATTTTTAGTGCACTTGTGTGTGCTTGTGTACGTCATTTGGTGCGCTTAATGCATTTGCACATTTCTTGAGGTATTAACGAAAATTCAAGACTACATCGTGATGCCTGCATATGACTTGAAAATATATAAATTTTGTTATTTTGCAAACCAACACAATTCTTACGTGAATTTCAAGATGTCAATATTATAATTGGAGTGCTTAGGAAATAAACGTAGATGTCAAAATTATCCAAAATTTGATTTTTGCATTTATATTTTGCAAATATGAATTTTTTAACTATCATCTTTTGTTCTCTTGCACAAAAATGTTACAGGTGAAGAAGGAGAATTTAAGCCTGGTTAGAATGACACATTTTTTACATGTCATCATTTGATCATTTTAATATTGTTTTTTTTATAATTTATTGTTACGGGTCCACGAGAACTCACTTCTCCCTTTTCACTATTCTCGAGTCAATTGAGTTTATTGGTTCGATTCGTTGAGGGCTTTGCTTGTAGCGTTGAGGTTCTGCTTGCATTCTTAGCAAGCTAGCAAGTGTTTCATGGTTCCCTGTAAGTCTTCAATTTTGATTCATTATTCAACATTTCGCTATTTTAATATTACTTGTATTACATTTTTTATATTTAATTGTGTAGTTTATTGCACTCAGATGTGTTTTGCTCATTTTAAGTTCCATGAATGTAATTTTTAGAGTTTGTTCAGTTCAAATTCTAGCAGCCTTGTGACATCTCCCTCGCACCAAGAATGGCGTGTGCGGGGTATATGTACGAGAATTTCCAAAAAGAAATTTTTCGGTCGCTTCGTGAATGTTGTTGGCAAGTTTTGTTTTTGCCACACTAATAAAAGGGTATATGGGGTTTCACTCTCTACGTTAACCACACCACAAATTGTATTCTCTCATGACGTTGCGAAATTTCGCTAACGAGCTTTCTTCACGCTAAGAAAAGCATTTATGGGGCTCCTCTTGCAGCGTTAAATCCATTCCAACAGGGTTTTGGTGGTTTACCCGCTACATTGTGAATGTTGCTAACGAGTTTCTTCTTGCCACTCTAAGAAAAACATGTACGAGACTCCACTCGCCGTGCCATATTTGTCACGAATTGAGTTTTTAATATATATTTTTTTAAGTTGCATTTTATATTTGTGTGCATGGAGGCATTGATGGTATCGACGCCGATGGGACGAAGTTGAAAGTGGGCATGGGAGTCCACAAGCGGGAGAGGGGCTGGTATCGTGTGTGTGAACATGAGAAAGTGGTTGTGTTGTTGTGAGGATGACTGTGTGGCTGTTAGGGATTTTTAGGTTTTTTTTTTCCTTTTCCAAAATTTATTTTAAATTTTAAAAAAAAGTTGTTCTTTTGCTACTATAAAAGTATAGGGTACTATACTATGAGATTCCAAATTTAAAAAAATTTGATTTGATTTTTTAGGTTATTTTTTAATCAATTAAAATTTAAGATATTGGTTTAAAACCTTTAATGAGAATAAATAAATATTCATTTTAAAGTCGCTAGCTAAATTTTCATAGCTGGCATGCGTCCACATTTTGCAGGCACCGGTGGATTTTGTGCCAATTTTCTCATGCTGGCACTCTGTCAATATGAGTTTCCTTTCTTAGTAATTTTGTTGCTCTTGAAGGGATGTCATGGTTTTTTTTGCAAATGGGGGAAGTTCGAGCTATTTCGTGCAACATCATGCTTGTAGCTCGTTGTTTATATCTGTGTTTGCTTGAATCTAATGCGAAGGTTCTTTATTGATAATTTCATTGTTTCGGGCATGATGGCGTGATTTGTTTCACAAATGGATGACGTCTGGGTGATTTCATACAATGTCACACTTTTGGTTGTTTTCATTGTTGTTCGACCGAGTCGAGCATAAAGGTTGTGGTGCATCTTTGATAGGTTTTATACTCTAAGCGAGTTGATAGTCTATTTGCAAGTGGATGTTGTTTGAGTGATTTTGTGTAGCATTGGGAACATTAAACCTCTTTCATGCAGTGTTGTGTCATTCGACCTGTCAAAATCTCAGTCATCCATTGGCATTTGATCCCACGGTCAGGATGAGAATCCGTGGGAGGCTTACCTAGATCACGCTAATATCCTTCTATATTTGGGTAGCTGAATTACGAAGGATTATATTGAGGCAATTATGTATCAATTAGAAGTTATTTATTTCTTTATTAAGACATCTTGTATAGATCTATAAATAGGGATAATTTTGTATAATAATTAGAAGGTATTTTTACCTTTCTCCAATTCTATGAATTGTAACACGACCATTGTTCTCGTCAGACACGTTCAAATTGATCGTGAAGCGCATATTAGGGTTAAAAAATAGTTAGCTAAGTAAGATTTTGAATAAATAGGCTAGCTATTAAATAACAATTAGGTAATACATCAGATGCACTATATTTTTTACAAAAAATTTCTGATAAGTAACAATCATTTTCTGGTAAATATCTTAAAGGTTTAGGTTATGGGGATTCAATAATATGGCTGAATACGTTTGTCGGACTACATTTACATATATTTACCATTTTCCTTTATTCTTACCATATAGCTTCTTCCATTCTAGATCATTATGTTTTATTCCTATTGTTTGAACATCTGCGTCTATAATTGGGAGCATTTAATCTATTCTGTTTATAATATGGTACCTTCAACTACTTAAACGTCCTATGTGGTTATGCGTACCTATGATCTATTACTGACAATTGAGGTTGCCATTTTACTTGCAGAAATCATTTTTTTCATTGTGTTTTTTATTAATGCTTAATCTTCTCTGCAGGAAACAGATGTAGAGGGCACATTATCAAATGACTGGGAAAAAAAAGGTTCTTCCTGTCCTCAGATATTCTCTTTGTCTGTACATGATCTTTACAGAATCTCTCTATTCATATTATGTAATGAGCCCACTCCTTTTTAAAAGTCTGGCAGTCACATAAAGTCAAATTATAATCAGTTTGAGATAATTGATAGAATACAAACTTGCGTAGAGGTTGCTAAGGACTTTTAACCTGCTTAGAGGTTGCCAAAAAGATTCAAGAACTATGGATGAATAAGGTGGGCCTCACGAAATCTCAAATAGTTAAGATAGAACTGACAATGATGACGGTGTGCTATTAATTTCTTTTAAGTTCTGTCCCAAGTATTAAGTAAGGACATAATATGAAAATGCTATGTTGTTCTATAAATCTTCCTAGGAATGCAAATTTTGCATCATTAGACTTCTAATTTTTTGTTCATCATTTACTTTTCATAATGTAATTATCTTTTGCATATCACGGCACATCTTTTTTTTGCTTAGGATAGTGGGACTTTGGCAGCTTGTTAAGACATGCTTAGCTGTGCTTAAAATCGTAGTATAACTTTCCACCTGCGGATATTTCTGATTTCTAAAACTGACATATTTACCCCTTTATCCCACTTCAGTTAAGGGTTGGTATTCTAATATTCAACTTGTATTACTGATCTTTATGTTCTTTTTATCTTTGCCGCATGGTTGTTATAATAATTCTGTAGTATAGTTCTTTTTCTTTGTTTGGCATGTTATACTTTAAAGTCAATTTGTTAAATTGCATAACCATGCTTTCTTTAGCTTTGACCTGTAGTTGAAAGATGTTGTTTTCCGTCTACTAACATTTGACATCAATTGTAGGGCCAAGCGGTTTGAAGAGGAAGAAAGCAAGTTTTAAGGATGAAGACTTCTATATAAGTTCTGTACCAGCTAATCAGGTATACAATCTGATAAGCTTATAAACTGTGAGAGTAAAACTTCTGCTAGTAGTTATGTTTAATCTTATTCCATCTATTTTGGCTAGCTTTATGTGTCCATTCATTCCGGCCAATGACCATGTAAATATTGATAACTATTATCATCACCTCGTAAGAAACCTCCCATACATTTTGATCATCATTGTTATCAGCATTATAAAAAATTTGCTGTGGTTTGTTGATTTTAATCTCTCTTTGCCTTGCATTGTTGCTTAGCTAATACTGTTTGGAAACATTTGTTTATTTAATGCGCTAAGCTTTATCTTTTTTTTTTCATGAAATATTTTTCCTATATTCAAATGTTATAAAGTTAATATTTTCCAAAATTGGGCTTGCTAAACTACTGATTTGACTTGTTTTTTTTATTAGCACCTTGAGGCAGGACTATCTGTCAAGGGAGGCCATGGCTTTAGTTCTAATAGGTAAGGAATTGCTTAGATTGTCTTTCTCTTTTCATTTTTATGTTTGAGTTGAAGCCAACGTTAACATCATCATCAGTACCTTATCCCTGTTAATTGGGGCCAATTTCTGAATCCTCTTTCTTTTCAACCAGTTGTTGCGTTAGATGCTAAATTATAGTTTACGTTTTTTTTTTTCTGAAACTTTTTGACCTGTTATAACTTATAAGTCGTGTCCAATTTTTCATTTTTATTATTTACACCTTCATTTAATGTCCCCTTGTTAAATTATCTGTCTGCAAAAAGTGAATTGGACTTTAAGGAACTCCCTGGAGGGCTGCTATCAAATATGTGCACGAAGGAGATAAAGTTTCTTTGACTACATAACCCTGCTGTTTTTTTTTTGTAGTGAACTGTACGATTGTAATGATGGCATCCCCTTTTTCCATTGCTCTTCTTTCCCTAAAATTCATTTTAACTCATCAAAATCTTCACTAATTTGATGGCATTTGGTTGGGTCACTTCTTTATTTTTCATTATCTTATCTTGATGTTTATGAGTGATTTTGTTTACTCGTCAGCGTGGTTTCTTGACTATTATGATCTGATGGTGATAAATATCTGTGGAAACATGGCTGGCTAGTTGACAAATTGCTTGTCTAACATTTTGAAAATTTTTCTACTTGTCTATAAGATGGTAGTGAGGCCTGCAATACTTTATGGTGCTGAATGTTGGCCATTAAAAGAGAAGCATAATACTAAGTTAAGTGTGGCAGAGATGAGGATGCTGTTACGCCGGCCCAGGAGGGGCCGGCTGGACCGGTCCACGTCTATACTAGACGACGGGAGAAGGGGCGGAAACCCCATGGGGCCCATGATGGGCTTAACGCATGAGTGGGAGGGAAAAATTTGAATGCAAAGGTTAATTAGGTAATTTGTAAGAATCCATTATGGTTAATTAGAGGAGGAGGAGGAAATTGGAGGGATTATCTTGAATTTGAATTTTGCTTGAGATCTAGGGTTGTTCTTGGGCACTCGGCTTTGCCGAAGATCGTGGAGAGTACTTCATTCCTCTCGAATTGAAGGAAAATTTGTATCTTGCAAGTGCTTTTCGTCTACTATTGAAATAAAAGTGTTTGCTTTGATTTCCTACGAATTTCTATTGAGTTTTTCTCAGTTTTCCTACTGTTTGGGCTATGTTCTTGCTGTGGACAGCAGTTTTTCTTTGCTTAGGTACTTAATTTGGGTTAGGTTTACTTGTGCATACAAGTATTTCCTATTAGATGCTCAGGTGGATGAGTGGCTTTACCCTTAGAGATAAGATACAAAATGAATATACGTGAAAAGGTTGGAGTAGCTCCAGTAGAAGATAAGATTAGAGAGAGTCGCCTTAGATGATTTGATCACATAAAACGGTGGCCTTCCAATGACTCGGTTAGGAGAGTAGAGGTATTAGATTTGACTTATGTTAAGAAAGGTAGAAGTAGACCTAAAAAGACTTGGTTAGAAAATATTAAGAATGACCTTTCTTTATTAGATTTAACGAGAATTTGACCTTTAATAGGATACAATGGAGAAAAGGATTCATGTAGCCGACCCCACGTAGTGGGATAAAGGCTTGATGTTGTTGTTGTTGTTCTATCCTCTTTGTTCTTTTTGTCCAACTGATGACTAGGCAGTTGGTCGCATTCTTTTTATCTGACACAGCCTTCTTAGATCTTAACCCTTTGAATTTATTTTAATAGTTTCCTATTTAAGTCTAGGTTTATGGGAAGCATGAAGTTGATCCCTGAACATGTATAAAGAATTCTGGTTTCTTGTTTTTATAATAAAATTTAAAATCCACCATTAAATTGCTGGTGCGTTTGTTTTACCTGATGACGGTTGAGAAGTTTGTAAGAAAAAAAAAAAGCCTAAATCTATTTATTTTCTGCTTTTATTTTTAAGACTGCTAAGTACTTTGTTTAATGGCTCCACTTTTTCATTCCATGGAATCGCTTTAAAATAAATTGTAATTGTCAGCTCACGTAAGTTTTAATTTACGTATGGCTCTTGTATTTTCTTCGTGATTATGAACTTTTCGAGAAGCATTTTAGCATTTCTTTGTTTTTTAATTTTCATTTTAATTTACTGCAATTTTGTGTAGCAGAAAAAAAGATGTTTGGTGGTTTAGGCGAAGGTAGAATTTGCTACTATAAATTGGTACATATAATCAGTGCCAAAGGATCAAATGAGTAGACCGAAATTAGTAGTTGTAGAAGTAGTGCAACAAGATATGCATGAAATAGAGTTAACAGCGCATGTAAAATTCATTCAAGGAATGAATGGAGGATTGATGAAGCTGGTGCCATTTAATTGGGATATGGCTAATAATAATTAATAAGGATGATGTTGATGGAATTTTGGGCTATGTTAATTTATGTATTTGCAGATTGGAGACTGCTGTCCTAGATCTTGTTGCAGATGACAATTCTGCAATGCGGAAACAAAAGTCTGTATATCATTGGGATAAGGTATTTAAATGAAGCAAGGCCCAGAAAACAACTATTTTTTCTTTACTCATCGATTGTTGTAAAAAAAAAATCTTTTTTCTTTTTTGACAGAGAAGCAAAAAGTACATCAAATTGAACAATGGTGAACGTGTCACTGCTACTGGAAAGGTAATGTAGCACTTTGCCAGCTTTGCTATGACTAGTTCTACTGATGTAGCATGCATAAAGCTTGTGTTGAACTAGTTCGCTTTGAGAAAACCTAACCAATCAGAATTCAGAAATAACTAAGTGAAGCTCCATATATATGGTGTCAATGTCATATTTATTGAAGAGTTCACTCCACACTGAATTTTTTTTGAAATTTTCATTGAATGCAAGATTATTATTCTGGATTTCAGTTGTAGAAAAATAAGTAGTTGAGTTATGAAGGAACACGAAAGCTGTTTGTGGTTTCTAACCATGGTTGTGAAAGTTTTATGATAAAAATATAGTTATATTTGTTATATTATAAGATAAATTTCATCAGTTAAGGGTTCAACATTTTTCTTATATTCCTACCCCTTTTCCTTACTAAAATATATTTATATTAGCTACTAAAAATTTGTATGACCCCGTTCCTGGTGTTCTATCTGCAGTTCTCCTTATAGAAGCTCGTGTTTTACTATTTCACTGGAAAGCACCTGTCATTTTTATAATTATCCTTTTTCATAATCGGCCTTACTTCTTAAAGGCACTTTATGATGAATTCAAAATTATATAATTTACTATTGTGATTTAAAATTGTCTAGTAACTTGACAATTATACTAATTATACCTCTGTAATACATGTTAAATTCAGAGAATTGATGAGGAAAAAAACTTAATTTTATTGCACAAAACTAGCCCTATTTATAAATCTATATAAGATATCTTGATAAAGAAATAAATAACTGCACAATCATGCATAATTGCCCTAATATAATCCTTCTTAAATTAGCTACCCAAATATAGAAGTAGATCGACGTGATCCAGGTGAGCCTTTCTTGGAAACCCACGATGTCCGTTGGATCAAGTGTTAAGGGATGTTTGGAATTTAACAATCGTCCCACGGATCCCCATGTTGGCCGTGCGATCAAGAGATAAGGGATGACTGAGATTTAACTCTCCCCCTTAAGCTGGGGAATACAGATCTACATTCCCAGCTTGGTAATCAGTCCCAAAAAGGTATAGTTATCAAGTCCCTTGGTAAAACTGTTTGCAAGTTGATCTTTTGATGAGACATGATAGATACATATAATACCACTGTCTAATTTGTCCTTTATAAAATGTTTGTCCACTTCTATGTGCTTGGTCCTGTCATTCTGAATTAGATTGTGAGCTATGTTAATTGCTGATTTATTGTCACAGTGTAGCTTCATGGAACTTTCTCACTTGATCCTTAGGTCTTCTAGAATTATCTTGATCCATATTAGTTCACATACTCTAAAGGCTATAGCTCTGAACTCTACTTATACACTAGATCTTGCCACCACATTCTATTTCTTGCTCCATATAATAAGGTTTCCTCCAATGAATGTGCAGTATCCTGAGGTAGATCGTTTGTCTACTGGTGATCATTTGTAATATGCATCAATGTATGCTTTTGAGATTATTTAATATTCTCTTTTGAAGATAATTCTTTTTTCCTGGATTCCCCTCAAGGTAGTGGAATATTTTGTCTACTGGTTGCATGTGAGTCTGCTTTGAATTGTGGGAACTGGCCGATCATGCTTACAACAAATGCTATATATGATCTGGTGTGGGAAAGGAAGATCAATTTTCCCACAAGTCTCTGATAAGCTCCCTTATCTATGTTTGGATCCTCTTTAGCTTCTCCTAATTTGAGATTTGATTTACTAGTGTCCGTGCTTTCTTATAAGCTAGTTTACCTTTTTCTTTAAGAAGATCAGTAAGTAGTAATGTCTTTCTATTGTAAAATGTAAATTCCTCTATTGGAGTGGGAAAGATATTTAATCTACCAAGTTCTTTGATCTCTAATTTCTTGACAAGATAATTTTTTAAAATCATTTTCTCCTTTTCATCATTCTCAGACAAGATGATATCATTCACATAAACTAACAAAATTATGACTCCCCTTGAGTCTAAGTGCTTGGAGAATAGTGTATGGTCCCTTTGGCTTTGTCGATATGCATTGAGTTGCATGACTCTGGAGAATCTTCCAAACTAAGCTATAGACGACTGCTTTAGCCCATATAGTGCCTTTTTTAACCTACACATTTTGTTACCCCCAAAATTTTTCTTGAATCATTGTGGAATCTCCATAAATATTTCTTCCTCTAAGTCCATGTGTAGGAATATATTTTTGAGATTTAGCTATTCTAGATGTAGTTATAATTAGTTGCTAATGAGAGAAGTATCCTCACAGTGTTCATCTTGGTCACATGTGCAAAAGTTTCCTGGTAGTTAATGTTGTACGCTTGAGTGTACCCTTTTGCAACTAGTCTTGCCTTATATCTTTCCAATGTACAATTGGCTTTGTATTTTATAGAGAACATACATTTGCACCCCTTTGGTCTTTTTCGTACTAGTAGGTCTATGATCTCCCAAGTATTATTCTTCTCCGGGGCCTGTATTTCATCTTTCATGATACTTTTTCAATTCTTATTAGATAATGCTTCAGAAATATCATTAGGAATATAAATATCATTTTTTGTAATTAGAAAATTTTATGTTAATGTGAAAAATCGTGGAAGGATACAAAGTTAGTTATGGGGTACACGAGAGGTTTTTTAGTTGAACTTGTATTTACCTCAATTTCAGTAGACAGTTTAGATTTTTTTGATATGCTTTGGAGTATAATTTGGATTTGTATACCTGGATTATACCTTTCCAAACCTCATGTTATTCATAATAGCTTTGTCCATAGTTTCTTTGGCTTTGGTTTTAGACTTAGGTGCAGCCTTCCCCTTAAGATGAGGTTAGTGAAATATGATTTTTGTTCGCCAAAAGATATGTCAATAGATATATAGATTTTCTTGGAGGTGAGGCGATAACATTTATAATCTTTGCATGGATGAACATCCGATAAAGACACATTTGAGTGCTCTTGGATTTAATTTTCCTCTATTTTTGTTATGAATGTGAATATAGGGAGTACACCTAAAGATTATTGGTGTGAGGTTATTATGGGTTCAAAATTCAGGATAAAAAGTAGATATATTCATTGGTGTTTTTAGTCCCAAGATTTTTTAAGATAACTGGTTTATGAGATATGTGGCAGTCAGAAGGGCTTTCTTCCAATAGGATTTTGGAATATTATGGCGGAATAGAAGTGCCTTGGTGGAGGCAAGAAGGTGGGCGTTTTTTCTTTCTGCAACTCCGTTTTGTTGTGGGGTGTGAATGTAGGAAGACTCATGAATGTTTTCTTCCTTTTAAAAGGAGGATAGGGTTTGGCTAAAGTAGTCTTTGGTATTGTTGGAACTAAATTATTTTACTTTGACCCCAAATTGATTATGGATCATATTGTGAAAAATGGGTGGTGCTAACATCAGATTTGTTTTTGAGGAGAATTATCCAAAAGACTTGAGTGTAGTCATTAATGAAGGATACAAGCCATCTGGCCCCAAAAATGTTAGAAATTTTTTAGGATCTTCAGATATCACTATGAATAAGGTAGAAGGGAGTATAACATTTCTCATTTTTATTTGGAAAAGAAACTCATTTATATTTGATTAACTCACAGGTTTCACAATAAAATAATTCATTTTTTAACTCATTAAAAAGTTTTAGATACATGTTTTTTAAGATATCAAAAGATGGATGTCCTAATCTAAAATGATGAAGTCAAATAGTAATTTTTTTATTAAACAAAGATAACATAGAATAGCTATTATTGTCAATAGTGAATTTGTTCAGCTCTTTCAGTTAGTATATTTCATCTTTCTCCTTAGCAAGTTTAATTTTCTTCCCTGAAACCTTGTTTGAAATAAACAAGTAGGTTTAATTAGGAATTGGCAATTATGGTCACACTTAAGTTTTTGTATGGATATTAGGTTTGTGGATAATTGAGGTATGTGGAGCACATTTTTGAGAGTAATAGAGGGAGATAATATTATATCTTCTTGGCCTTCTACTGTGGTAAGAGAACCATCAACAATGATTATTTTCTTATTACCCAGGAAATGAGTATAGTTGATGAAGTGAGTAATGTAGTCTGACATGTGATATGTGACTTCTGAGTTAATAATTCATAAACCTTTCAAATGATTTCTAGAGATATTTAATTCGATGGATATAAGAAACTTACATGAAAGAATAAATAGAAGAAGATAAATTTTCAAGTGATACCAGGAGTTTTTTAACCTTATCACCATCTTCTTTGTTGAGTTCTCTGAAGCTGAACTGTTTTTTTGGGTTGGGATGACTTATTTTAGTGTTAGCTTGTGATATCCCCTTTTGGCTACTTCTTTGATTCTACTTCTTACTTGGGGGCTTTCCATGTAACTTCCAGCAGGTCGTCTTTGTTTGTCTTGATTTCTTGCAATAGTTATGCCAAATGGAGTCTTTGTTTTTAGGTTTTGAGGAATCCTTATCTCTTTCCTTATATATCGCCTCTTTGGTTATCACCATTGTTGAACCATTAATAGCCTTTGATTCCAGCATTACCCTTTTGTTGGCTTTCCTCAGCCTGATAGAAATGATCTCATTTAACACTTTGCCATGGATCCGAACTCTAATCTGATCCGTATTTACTCATGCAAGAAAGTCTTACACTTTATCTTTCTATAGTTGCCAGTAAAATTTTCGGTTGTTTTGAGTGCTTCTAATGAAATTAATGAATCAATTATCTTGTAATCTAAGGCTATCATTAGGGTGTTATTTTGTATGCTTTTTTTGCATTCTCAAATCATCTTGAACTTTCTTAAAATTTAGTTTTACACTAATTTTAATAATGAAGTTTAAGGTAAATAGTATTGATTTTTTTATATATAGAAGTTGTAGAAAAAGGAACTGGCCCGAAAGCTTGCATTGTTTATTCGCCCCATGGTATTTAGACACAAATGATGCTTATGGCAATTGGGGATGTTTACAATTTATAACTTGACAAATAATTAATACATATTGAACGACCGTCCTCCCCACATAATAAAATATATAGGTACATTTCTTTCTTGCTTGTTTAGTTTCGT